AAATAAGCAGGGTAACAATATACAGCTTTGATGTACTCCTTTTCCTCTTTCGAACCAGTCTGTTGTTCCATGTCCAGTTCTAACTGTTGCTTCCTGACCTGCATACACATTTCTCAAGAGGCAGGTTAGGTGGTGGTATTCCCATCTCTTTCAGAATTTTCCACAGTTTATTGTGATCCACACAGTCAAAGTCTTTGGCATAGTCAATAAAGCAGAAAATAGATGTTTTTCTGGAACTCTTTGCTTTTTTGATGATCCAGTGGATATTGGCAATTTGATCTCTGGTTCCTCTGCCTTTTCTAAAACCAGCTTGAACATCTGGAAGTTCACGATTCAGTTATTGCTGAAGCCTGGTAGCACATTAAATTCCCCTGCTACTGCTGCTACTGCTAAGTCACTTCAGTTGTGTCTGACTCTGTGCGACCCCATCCCTGGGATTCTCCAGGCAAGAACACTGGAGTGGGTTGCCATTTCCTTCTCCAATGCATAAAAGTGAAAAGTGAAAGTGAAGTTGCTCAGTCATGTCCGACTCTTCGTGACCCCATGGACTGCAGCCTACCAGGCTCATCCATCCATGGGGTTTTCCAGGCAAGAGTACTGGAGTGGGGTGCCATTACCTTCTCCATTAAATTCCCCTAGGGAGCTATAAAGATTGGGAAAGTTTGAAGGCAGAAGGAGAAGGGATAACAGAGGATGAGATGTTTGGATGGCATCACCGACTTGATGAACATGAGTTTGAGCAAGCTCCAAAAGTTGGTGATGGACAGGGAAGCCTGGTGTGCTGCAGTCCATGTTGCAAAGAGTCCGATTGCAAAGAGTCATACACAACTGACTGACTGAACACAATTGACACAACTGAGAGACTGAACTGAGGGAGCTATAAAACATACCGCTGTTCACCTTTGCCTCAAATCAACTGAATTTAGATCCCATGTTTTGGATAGGAGCCTAGTTATCAGATTATCAACCTTCCCAGGTAGTTCTAATGTGTAGCCAGGGTCGGGAAATGCTAACATTATCCTGAGTGTTTTGAGAAGTTGAAAAGACACCTGTGTCATTTTCCTGGTACTATTTTACAGAAAATTCTAGTCAAGTTAATCACTTGATTTGCTTCTCCTTGTTTTTAATGAGCATGTTGGTTTCTAGTGTTCACCACTTACTGCTTCATAATTAAACAATCACTTCATGATTTTCTTAGTTGTGGTGTCAAGTATATTCTGTAATTTCTAAGAATTGTTTCTCCTTATCTGTTTAAAAAATTAGAGTGTTTTTCGTCATGACCAAGTGGGTTTTATTCCAGGGATGCAAGGATTCTTCAATATTCACAAATCAATCAATGTGTTACACCATATTAACAAATTGAAAGATAAAAACCATATGATTGTGTTAGTAGATGGAGAAAAAGCCTTTGACAAAATGCAGTTTCCATTTATGATGAAAACTCTCCAGAAGGAAGGTATAGAAGATACATACCTCAATGTAATAAAAGCCATATACAACAAACCCACAGCAAACATTATCCTCAATGGCAAAACATTGAAAGTATTTCCTCTAAAATCAGGAAGAAGACAATGGTGCCCACTCTCACCACTACTATTTGACATAGTTTTGGAAGGCCTAGTAACAGCATTCAGAGAAGAAAAAGAAATAAAAGGAATCCAGATTGGAAAAGAAGTGAAACTCTCACTGTTTGCAGATGACATGATCCTCTACATAGAAAACCCTAAAGATGCCACCAGAAAATTACTAGAACTAATCAATGAATATAGTAAAGTTGCAGGATATAAAATTAATATGCAGAAATCCCTTGCATTCTGATACACCAACAATGAAATATCAGGAAGAGAAATTGAAGAAACAATCCCATTCACCATTTCCTTGAAAAGACTAAAATACTTAGGAATAAATTTACCTACAGAAACAAAAGACCTATATATAGAAAACTATAAAACACTGATGAAAGAAATCAAAGATTATACAGACAGACGGAAAAACACCATGTTCGTGGATTGGAGGAATCAATATAGTGAAAATGAATATACTACCCAAAGCAATCTATAGATTCAATGCAGTCCCCATCAAACTAGCAATGGTATTTTTCACAGAACTAGAACAAATAATTTCACAATTTGTATGAAAACACAAAAAATCTCAAATAGCCAAAGCAATCTTGAGAAAGAAGAATGGAATTGGAGCAATCACCCTCCCTGACTTCAGACTATACCACAAAGCTACAGTCATCAAGAGAGTATGGTATTGGCACAAAGACAAAAATATAGATCAATGGAACACAATAGAAAGCCCAGAGATAAATCCACGCACTTATGGACACCTTATCTTTGATGAAGGAGGCAAATATATACAATCAAGAAAAGACAAGCTCTTTATTAACAAGTGGTGCTGGGAAAACTGGCCAACCACCTGTAAAAAAATGAAACTAGAACACTTTCTAATACCATACACAAAAATAAACTTAAAATGGATTAAAGATCTAAATGTAAGACCAGAAACTATAAAACTCTTAGAGGAAAACATAGGCAGAACACTCTCTGACATAAATCACAGCAAGATCCTCTATGACCCACCTCCCAGAGTAATGGAAATATAAACAAAAATAAATGGGACCTAATTAAAAGCTTTTGCACAATGAAAAACTATAAGCAAGGTGAAAAGACAGCCTTCAGAATGGGAGAAAATAATAGCAAATGAAACAACTGACAAAGAATTAATCTCCAAAATACACAAGCAGCTCATGCAGCTCAATACCAGAAAAACGAGCAACCCAATCAAAAAAGTGAGCAAAAGAACTAAACAGACATTTCTCCAAAGACGATATCAGTTCAGTTCAGTTGCTTAGTCATGTCCAACTCTTTGCGACCCCATGGACCGCAGCACACCAAGCTTCCCTGTCCATCACCAACTCCTGGAACTTACTCAGACTCATGTCCATCGAGTTGGTGATGCCATCCAACCACCTCATCTTCTGTCATCCCCTTCTCCTCCTGCCTTCAATCTTTCCTAGCCCCAAGGTCTTTTTCAGTGAGTCAGTTCTTTGCATCAGGTGGCCAAAGTATTGGAGCTTCAGCATCAGTCCTTCCAATGTATATTCAGCACTGATTTCCTTTAGGATTGACTTATTTGATCTCCTTGTAGTTCAAGGACTCTACAGATGGCTGGTGAACATATGAAAAGATGTTCAACATCACTCATTGTTAGAGAAATGCAAATCAAAACCATAATGAGGTGTCATCTCACGCCAGTCAGAATGGCTGTCATCAAAAAGTCTACAAACAGTAAATGCTGGAGAGGGTGTGTAGAAAAAGGAATTCTCTTACACTGTTGGTGGGGATGCAAACTCATACAGCCACTATGGAGAACAGTGTGAAGATTCCTTAAAAACCTGGGAATAGAACTCCCATACAACCTAGCAGCCCCATTGCTGGGCATACACACTGAGGAAACCAGAATTGAAAGAGACCCATTGTACCCCATTGTTCATTGCAGCACTGTTTACAATAACTAGGACATGGAAGCAACCTAGATGTCCATTGGCAGATGAATGGATAAGGAAGTTGTGGTACATATACACAATGAAATATTTCTCAGCTATAAAAATGAACACATTTGAGTCAGTTCTAATGAGGTGGATGAAACCAGAGCCTGTTATACAAAATGAAGTAATTCAGAAGGAGAAACACAAATCCTGTATATTAATACATATATATGGGATTTGGAGTGACAGTATTAACAATCCTACATTCAAGGCAGCAAAAAAGACACAGATGTAAAGAACAGACTTTTGGACTATGTGGGAGAAGGCGAGGGTGGGATGATTTGAGAGAATGGTATGGAAACATATATATTATCCTATGTGAAATAAATGCCCAGTGCAAGTTCAGTGCATGAAACAGAGCACCCAAAGCCAGCACTCTGGGACAACCCAGAGCGATAGGGTAGGGAGAGATGTGGGAGGGGGGTTCTGGATGGGGGGACGCATGTGTACCCATGGCTGATTCATGTTGATATATGGCAAAAACCACCACAATATTGTAAAGTAATTATCCTACAATTAAAATAATTTATTAAAAAATAGAGTACTTCTATATCTCCAGTTATATGACATCCTTTTATTTCTCAAAGAATTTGGACTAATTTATGAGAGAAGTTAGAAAATTTTACTCAGTGACTTGATATTCCTGTTAATATTTTTGAAGTGCTAGAAATGATTATTTCCTTTTACTTTTTGTTTACCTAAGAAACCGTTTGTTCCTGAGTGTAAAGATAAATTTCAACTTAGATCATACATGAAGAAACTTATTTTGAATTGAAAGAGTAGATATCAATGACGTTTGTACTGAATAAAATAAAAAATAAGGCTCTATGAAAAGATGTTGTCCTTTGAATATTTTAATCTTGGTAAATAACCTGATTATTTCTTTTATACTTTTAAACTTATATTTGTTTATGTGAGAATTACTGCAGGCCCTTGAGCCTGATCTGAATGTGTGCTGGCTTTTAGTCTGTTTGTCATTCCCTGTGTGCCTGGATGCCCAATGTCTAGGAGCAGGTCACAGTAGGCTGTCCCTTGTACTTTATGTCAGACTGCTCTCCCACCCGTCATTCTGTTCTCCATGCTCCACGAGTAACTCCATGCTCAGTCCTCTCCACATCCATACCCGGGTAATCTCAGAGCTTCTGGAAAGGAGAAGTAGCTAGCCCTCAACAAAAAGTCAGCAACAACATTTGATGAATAAGAAAGATAAAAGATTAATTGGAGTTGTGTCAGTTTATTTTCTGATGCTTCTAGATTTGCTTCATTTCTTTATGTTATATTTAACCTCTATCAAAATATCTTCCATTATTGATGCAGATTTTGAATCATTTAGTTATATCAAAATAATGAAAAAATTGGAAAAATGGTGCTTTTTTGCTTTAATTATGAGGAATATTTCTTTCTTTTGGTATTTTGTTTTCAATGTCCTCCTCTTTGTTTCTTTCAGTAGATATCCCTGATGCAGCTTTTATTCAAGCAACCTACGGAAAATGCAAATTGGCCAGGGCCCAAGAGGACTATATTTCTTTGGATGTAAAACATGCCTTCACCAAATCTGGTATGAAGAAAAACAGTGAAGATTCTGAAAGTGAGCCTGATGATTTTAAAGATATAACGCCATTTACCCCGAAGCCTCAAACACTTAGACAAAGAATGGCTGATGAGACAAGTACGTATTTAATTTATTTGTAGTATATGAATATTAAGGCATTTTTCATTAGAATGTATTATGGTAAGTATATCCATAAAAACATAATGTAGTATCTGCTATTCTAAAATGTTTTAAGTTTTTTTTTTTTCTTATACCAGTGTCACTGACATCATGACTTCTAAAATATTTTACATGTCTGTATCAAAATGTTATCAAGGGTGCAATAATGTTTACTGTTATCTGATCTCCACTTGATCGTTCTTGACAGGTTAAAAAAATTTGTAGAGTTTTTGATAAAATATTTTTGATATTGAAGACTTCCATTGTCACCTTTATAAGATTTTTTTAACATGGAAGCATATATAGGGATTTCAGGTGTCATATATTAAAATCTTCCCTAAAAAAAAAAACAAATAAATAAATAAAATAAAATCTTCCCTGCTCTAGTAAAAAGTTTTCCTCAACCAATAATCATTATGTCTCAAAGAATATTTTCACATTTCTCATTTATTAAAAGGAAAATTTTACCAAATTTTTGTCACTTCAGATAATACCATTTCTGAATGGTATTTTGGTTCCTGTTAACCCAGAAATTATTTTTGATACATGTATAGATTCTCAGGCATAATTGAGAATCTCTGATGAAACCAAGTGTTTCATTTTTTCCCAGGCTTTTTCATAAGTGAGACTGCATGTTTTCAGTGAGACAGTGTGGTGATAAGTACAGATTTTGAAGTCAAATTGCTCAAATCAAGGCCTGGTTTCAACACAGTGCTTTGATACAGGGTTATGTTATATAACCTCGCTATCTAAATTTCTTTGTTTGTAAAGAGAGGATACTAATAGTGCCTTCCTCCCAGAATTAGGTATTGGGAAGAAAAGGTTAACACATAAAAAGTGCTGCTAAGCTATTTATAAGCTCCTGAATTGCTGATTGCTGCTGCTATTAAAATGGCTCAAACAGTAAGGAATCCGCCTGCAATGCAGTGGACTTGGGTTTGATCCCTGGGTTGGGAGATCCCCTGGAGAAAGGAACCCACTCCAGTGTTCTGGCTTGGAGAATTCCATGGACAAAGGAGCCTGGCAGGTTACAGTCCATGGGGTCACAAAGAGTCAGACACGACTGTGCAACTTTTCACTTCACTTTAATTAGAATGGAAAAATATGGAATATTTATACATCAACTTTTTTTTCCTAGAAACTAGAAATGAAGAAACAAGTGATGATAGTCAAGATGAAAAAAATCAAGATATTTGGGAGCAGCAGCAGATGAGGAAAGCTGTTAAAATCACAAAGGTAGTAATTTTTTATACCATATGTATTTGTGGTAACAAATTACCACAAACTTGATGGCTTAAAACAACAGACATTTATTCTGTCACAGTTGTTGAGGCTAGAAGTCTCAATTCAAGGTATTGGTAGGAATGTGCTTTTGAAGCCCCTGGGGAAGAATCTTTTTTCCCCCCTTTTCTTTTTATTCTTTTTTAAATTGAAGTAGAATTGACATACGGTATTTTGTTAGTTTCAAGTGTAGAAAACAGTGATTGACTTTTAATTACATGATGAAATAAATCACTATAAGTCTAGTAGCCATCTTTCACCATGCAAAATTATTACAGCGTAATTGAATATGTTCCTTAAGCTGTATATTACATCAGGGATCCCCAGCCTCTGGGCCATGAACTAATACCTTCTATCAGATCAGTGGCAGCATTAAATTAGGAATAAAGTGCACAATAAATGTAATATGCTTGAATCATCCTGAAACTATCCCCCACACTCCTGATCTGTGGAAAAAATTGTTTTCCACACAATCCGTCCATGGTGCCAAAAAGATTGGGGACCACTGTATTACATCCCTGTGACTTGTTTATTTTATAACTGGAAGTTTGAACCTCTTAATTTGCTTCACTTATTTCCCCCTCCCCTTGGGCAACCACCAGTGTGTTCTTTGTATCTATAAGTTGTCTGTTTTGTTTTGTTTTGTTTATTACATTCCACATATAAGTGAGATCAAAGAGATTGTCTTTGTCTTGTTACACTTAGCATAATACCCTGTATGTCCATCCATGTTGTGACAAATGGCATGATGTCATTCTTTTCTATGGCTGAATAATATTCCATTGTTTGTATACACACACACACACACACACACACACATACACACACACACATGAGACTTATCCAATGGCTCATTGGGTAAAGAATCTACCTGCAGTGCAGGAGACAGAGTAGATGTGGGTTTGATCCGTGGGTCAGGAAGATCCCCTGGAGAAGGAAATGGCAACCCACTCCACTATTTCTTGCATGAAAAGAAATCCCTTGGACAGAATAGCCTGGTGGGCTACAGTCCAGAGGGTCGCAAAAAGTCAGACACAACTGAACTATGAAGTACGCTCATGCACACACACACACATGTACACACAGACCACATATTCTTTATCTGTTTGCATATCAGTGGACACTTACATTGCTTCCTTGAAACTGTGAATAATGCTGCAGTGAGCATAGGGTTGCACAGAACTTTTCACATTAATGTTTTTATTTTCTTCAGGTAATTACCTAGAATGAAATTGCTGGATGATATGGTAGTTCTTTTTTTTTCACATGTTGAGGAATCTCCATGCTGTTTTCCCTGGTTGCTATATCAATGTACATTCCCATGAACAGTGCACAAGGGATCCCTTTTTTCCACACCCTTGCCACAACTTATTTGTTATCTATGTGGCTATGTCAGGTCTTAGTTGTGGCATGCCCAGACTTTTCCCTAGTCATGGTGTGCAGGCTCCAGAGCACACAGGGTTATTAGTGGTAGCACACAGGCCTAGTTTCCCTGCAGTGTGTGGGATCTTAGTTCCCCAACCAGGGATCATACCCACTTCCCTTGTATTGGAAGGCAGACTCTTAACCATTGGACCACCAGGGAAGTCCCATTTGTTGTCTTTTTAATAATAACTGTTTTAATAGGTGTGAGGTGTCTTATTGTGGTATTGATTCGCATTTCCCTGATGAGTAGTGATGTTCAGCATCTTTTCATGTGTCTGTTGGCCATTTTAACTCTTCATTGAAGAAACATCTTTTCCAATCCTCTGTAGATTTTTTGATCAGGTTTTTTTAAATATTGAGGTGTATGAGTTCTTAATATAATTTGGATATTAACTATTTATGAAATATATCATTTGCAGATATCTCCTCCCATTCAATAGGGTGCCTTTTTGCTTTATTCATGATTTCCTTTACTGTGCAAAATGTTTTTAGTTTGTAGTTCCATTTGTTTATCTTTGCTTTTATTGCCCTTGCCTGAGAAGGCATAGCCAAAAAAAATATTGCTGAGATTGATGTCAAAGATATATCATTTATGTTTTCTTCTAGGAGTTTTATGGTTTCAGAAATGATTTTTGTAAATAGTGTAAAAAGGTGGTCCAGTTTCATTCTTTTGCAAAAATGTAGCTGTCCAGTTTTCCTAGCACCATTTTGTTGAAGAGGCTATCTTTTTTCCTGGAGAAGGAAATGGCCACCCACTCCAGTATTCTTGCCTGGGAGATCCCATGGAGAGATGAGCCTGGTGGGCTACACTTCATGGAGTCACAAGAATTGGAAACAACTTAGCGACTAAACCACCACCACTGTCTTTTCCTCACTGTATGTTTTTGCCTTCTTTGTTATAGATTAACTGACCGTATAAGCATGCGTTTACTTCTGGGGTGTCTGTTCTGTTCCATTGATTTATGTGTCTCTTTTTGTTCCAGTAATATGTTGTTTTGATTACTGTAGTTTGAAATCTGGGAGCTTGATATCTCTAGCTTTGCTCTTCCTTAAGATCTCTTTGGCTATTTTAAGGTCTTTTGTGGTTTCACATAAATGTTAGGATTATTTGTTCTTATTCCATGAAAAATTTCATTGGTATTTTGGTGTACGTGCTCAGTCGCTTTAGTCATGTCTGATTCTTTGCAACCCTATGGACTGTAGCCCACCAGGCTCCTCTGTCCATGGGAGTGTCCAGAATAGAATACTGGAGTGGGTTGCCATGCCCTCCTCCAGGGATCAAACCCATGTCCTGTGTCTCCTGCATTGAAGGTGGATTCCTTACCCACTGGGAAGCCCAGCATTTTGGTAGGGATTGCCTTGAATCTCTCAGTGGAGAATTCGTTCTTGCTTTGTCTAAATTCTGGTAGCTCCAGGTATTTTTTGCTTTGTGACCACATAATTTCTGTCTCCAGCTCCTTCTTTACACGGCTTTCTCTCTGCCTCTGCTTAATGTGTCTCTTATAAGGATACATGTCATCAGATTTAGGGCCTGCTTGGATAATCCAGGATAATCTCATCTTGATATTCTTCACTTAATTACAACCCCAAAGACTATTTCTAAACAGGGTTATATTCAGAGGTTCCACAGGTTAGGACATAGACCTAACTTTGAGAGACCATCATTCAGCCCACTATACCATGTACATCATGTTCTTTTCCCACTAGGTTATAAATGCTTTCCATATATTGTAAGCCCCTTGAGGCAACTGTATCTTTTTTACTTTTAATTTTACAGTTAAAAGTATGGTAGATGCCTAAATGTGACATTCAAACAAATAAATAGGGTTAAAACAAAACTAACAACAGAAAGCGTTATACTTGGGGTCAAATGTCCTGGATTTGGGTTCTGATTTTACCACTAAAATACACTCTCCATGAAGTCAAGAATTATTAACAATTTTTTTCAGTGTTATATCCCATAGTGCCTAATATGGTGAGAGCTCAATAAATACTTGTATACTCTGAGAAAATAATTTCATTTTTCTAAATTTATTTTCTCAACAATAAAATGGAAATTATAGTTTGAATGATAGTGTTACCTACCTGAGCAGGTGGCTATGAGGCTCAAATTATAATTATTTTAATTTTAAAATTTTAAAATTATTAACTTTATTTTTTATCTTTTTAGTAGGAGTGCTTTGAAATTTGTTTTGCTCTTTTAAGCAAGAAAATTTTTTACAATCTTCATGTTATTAAAACTAAAAAGCTAAGTAAAAGTAAGCCTTCAGTTGTAATTTAGAAGTCTTTAGTTGTAATTTAGAGCCATTCTATTTTCCAGTTATTTGCAATCTGAATTATTTTTTTTCACAACTATTAATAAGAACAGAAATTTTTGCTTGTTTTTTTTCCTTCCTTTTTTTTTTTCTTTCTTTTGATCAGAGATGTTTTTGGTTGTTTTTCTTTGTAATGTGAAATATACTGTGTTACAACATGTATTACCTAGGAATGCATTCATTTGTACGTAACAGAAAACACAAATAATGGTGGCTTAAACTAAATTCAAAGCTTTACCTACAAACCCACCAGCAGACTTCTATTTGCTATCCTTTCACTCAACTGGAGTTAGATGCAACTTCTATCATGAAAAAAACAAATATTTGGTTTGTTGCTGTTCTTAATTTACTTTATTGAAGTATAGCTTATTTATAATATTGTAATTTCTACTGTACAGCACAGTGACTCCATTTTATATTTACATATATACATTCTTTTTTCATATTCTTTTCCATTTTCTTTTATCACAGGATATTGAATATAGTTCCCTGGACTATAGTTTAGGACCTTCTTGATTATCTATTCTATACATAAGTTTCATCTGCATCTGATACTTCAAAAGTCCCAATCTGTCTCTTCCCCACCTCCCCTGCCTTGGCAAGCACAAGTATGTTCTTTGTGAGTCTGTTTCTGTTTCATAGGTAAAAGTCCATTTGTGTCATATTTAGGACCCAACGTTTAAGTGATATCATATGGTATTTGTCTTTCTCTTTCTGACTTCCTTCACTTTGTATGATGATCTCTAGGTCCATTCATGTTGCTGCAAATGGCATTATTTCATTCTTTTTTATGGCTGAGTAGCAGTCTATTGTATTAATACATATGTGCCACTTCCTCTTTATCCGTTCATCTGTCAATGGACATTAGGTTGTTTCCATGTCTTGGCTATTGTAAATAGTATTGTGGTCAACTTTGGGGTGCATGTATCTTTTTGAATTATATTTATCTTTGGATGTATGCCCAGGAGTAGGATTGCAAGATCATATAGCAGCTTTATTTTTTGTTTTTTGATGAACCTCCATATACTATTGATCATAGTAGCTGCACCAATTTACATTCCCAACAACAGTGTAGTAGGATTCCTTTTTCTCCAACACCCCCTCCAGCATTTGTTATGTATATACTTTTTAATGATGGCTGTTGTGATTGGTAGTCATGTACATGTAGTCATGTACAGATTTGAGAGTTGGACTATAAAGAAGGCTGAGCACCAA